AAAAGCCGAATATCTCTGTTGATTTGTTCAATTTGTTTCATCTCGTCATCGGTAAGCTTGAAATCGAAAATATTGATGTTTTCTTGAATATGCTCTGCATTGATACTTTTTGGTATTACACTAATACCGCGTTGTATAAGATTTCGAAGAAGTACCTAAAATCATTTGAACACTGTATTAGTACCAAAGAAACTTGGCAAAAATTGGTTAAAACTTTGTTGCAACTTCACCAAAATTTTGACAAAACTCTGCTTCTGAACTCTTTCTGTAATTCTCAGAAGATTATTTCTTAGAGAAATCACTCAGCTCACAAAAAATAGCTTTAACTTCCATAAGAAACAGAAACCAGTTGAAAACTTAAGTATTACAAATGAAGAACTCAAATTGTACCTCTTTGAACCAGAAAAAAATCCATACATTTGACAACTTGAAAAAACTTACTGTTTCGACAAGTTCACATTCTAACTTGAGAAACTTGCCTTAATAAAACTTTTGCGCTCAAAACCGTAGACGAAAGGAAATTCAGGATATTTTTATAGTTTGAACGCAAAGTGACAACTGGCACGCAAAAGACGGCTACAGCGAAGTTCACTAAATGCTGTTAATATTAAGCATACCTGCGCGGGTGTTTTGTTATGTCTTTTAGCAATTTCAGAAATCACTGGATCTTTGAGTGGCTCGCCCTCAGGCCAGTAACCATTTGGGTTGAAAGCCTTACGTCCAGGTGATCCAATTGGCGCGTATGCCGTTACCGTGATATTATTTGCTTTACAATAATCACACAATTTGGCCTGTTGCATGTAAGCATGGATTTCAATCTGAAACCAACCAACCAACCTGAGATTCGCTAATGTATCAGTTAATTGAAAAGCTCTCTTTCATTCCCAATTCTGTTTCCAGACAGAAGTGTTACGCTGTGGACGGAAAAACAAATAAACAAACAAATACGGTAAGCAAATACGCGGATTTATGAAAAAACATTCTAGAACGCAACAAATATGCAATTTTATGAAGCAGCATAGCAGACAAATAACCGAGTGCTACCTAAAATAAGCCAGAAGGAATAACCGGAAGGCTAGACCAATCCGTTAACTCAAATGTATGGCGTACTGTAATGCAAGAGTTCCAAGATCGAAATCGATAGCATGGTCGAAGTCGATGACTGATGCTGTGGTCTAACAGTCTACGAGGACACTCACATTTCACAGGGGCTTAGTTGGTAATTTCGCGCAATATCTGCATAAATCATGGGTTTTCCCACCACGCACAGCATACAGAACAGCTCTTTATATCAGGGGGCGGATGCTCGACAATCAAAGAATTATCTCTTCAGGTCGTGACTTATTTCGTCAACTAAACTTCGTGCTGGACAGCTAAAAAGATTTGGTTTCGCACATTTTATTATATTTCGTTTAAAACACAAAACACAGACCAACCACAAACTGAACGGACTGGAAAAGATTTGTAACTTTGTTGGCCCTCCTATACAGCTAAAATTTAACCAAAATCATTTTCCCCAACCGATTATTTCGGCTGTCTTTAGAATTTCTCAAGTTCTCAAGTTAATGAAGGATTGCACATGAAGCGTTTTTCTGCACTAATTTTACCCGAGACTGCCCAGCTTTGCTTGCATTTTACATGTATATCAAAAAAATTCTAATGTACTTTTTGCTCCACGTATAAAAGCAAATATGATAAGAACTAGTAAAAGAAGCTGCGAAATCCCATGGATTGATAAAAACTGGAAAAAAAAAACCCGAAAAGACAAACCTGTAAATTGTGCGGTTTGATTTCGGCACAGCGATAAACACGT